ATATATATATATATATAATTTTCTTGAAATTTTCAAATACATTTTTTTTTATACGATTGTCTACTGTTGTACTGATAAATATCTCCTGGAGGGTAAACTATATCTTGGCTGTAAGTATCAAGCTGTGAAATCTTTTGTTTTCTACAACTGATAGTGGTTGGTCATTAATTATGAAGTTTAGCAACTTCTCGGTAAACATTCGAGCTCCATGGATTCAGCGATGCGTTTTCTTGTTCACTCTGTAGCAGGCAGTCTTGATTTAGGTCAGCCGTGCTCAGTCTGTCCCTCCTCAGAGACGGGCAGATTAAGCGCGGCTGGCCGAGGTCGAGTTGCCTGTTTCGGGTTGATCAAGAGTAGCGCTCCGCTGAAGCCACGGAGCTCGAATGTCCATCGTAAAACTAACTTTACCGCAGTTTAATGTGGTGCTATGGCTCTGCAGAGATTACACGTTGCTGTCTTGTTTTGTGTGTTTAGTGTAAAATACTTCCACACAGCGGACATGTTTCAATGAAAAGTTTGTTAGCTGTTAGCAACAGTGCTTCTCACTCAGTCCTCACGTTGTAGCTGCTGCAAACTATGAAATGGATTTCCTGAATGTGAGGCGGGTTTTATTACTCTGGGCTCATGAGACACGCCTCCAATCAGGAAATACATTCCATATTTTGAAGCCAACATGCATAAAGGATCGGAAATCTCTGCAGGTTAGATCGGAAAAATCCGATACGTAAATTATGCTGGTATCAGAGGCCGAATCCGATACTGGGTCGGCCCTATCCCTAATGCTAATAAATAACATTTAACTCTTTTCATTTAATATAAGTCAAAGTGCTATGCATTAGGGGTGCACCGATTTATCGGCCTCGATTTCCTTTATTTTGGGAAATCGGCCGATACTTGCATAAGAAACCGATTTTTTGTTTGTTTTAACAACAATTGTCTGAACTTCATTTATATTTCAGAACACAACCTCATGGCCAGTTAAAACACGTTTGTATTGTTTCTAGAATATTATTCAAAAGTATGTTTTTCAATGAAATAATATTAGAAAATTGAAGGTGCATTGTGACCTTGTAACAGCCGACAGTGTCGATTATAAAACAAAATCAGTATCGGCCAAAATCGAAATCGGCAGGTCAGACTTTTTAAGAAATCGGTGATCGGCCAGAAAACTGCAATCGGTGCACCCCTATTATGCATATCATATGGCTGTTACTGAATATGTCACCAGCTCTTATAGCTGTTGCACAATTTTTGTAGCAAATATGCCTAAATAAGAGGGCTATGTTCTGACAAAGGAAAAGTATATAAAATTTTGATATCGGCAAAGGATATCGGCCAAAAATCCAATATCGTGCATTCCTATTCTATATTACATTGATTACGTTTCACTGACTGACGCTCACGACGCAGCTGATTCAAGCAGAACAGAAAAAGCCGTAACACATCGGCTACGTGAGTGATGACATACACCACAGACTAGAAGCAGTAGGTTGTATTCAGCGGTGCTACGCTAGGCTAAGCTCCAACATGGTAAGTTTTAGCTACAAAATGAGACCAAGAAAAAAGGCAGGTGATCAAAGACAGAGAATCAACGAAATGGAATAATTCCTGCAGGAACAGAGGAAGCTGAAACACCAACAAGCTTCAGGGTCAGCTGAAGACACCTTCTCACAAGTTTTGGAAGTTACACCTCATTTAAAAAGGCAACATATTTTGTTGCATGTTACATTTATGCTCAACAGATCTTAAGCTTTCATTTTATTTATTTTTTTTGGGAACTGCATCTGCACTTTAGTTTTTGTGGCAGATTTTGTTATCTATATTTTGTGCTGACTTTTTCAATCTAAATAACAAAAGGATCATTTTTATTTTTATACTCTGAGATAGGAATGTGCAATATGGCATAAAATTCATATCACGATATGTATTGTGAAGGGTGGCAATAACGATATATATCACGATATGTTTTTGGTATAAAACTTGCAATAGGAATTAAAAAAAAACATAGGGTGTCCTTTTGCCATCATTTATTTTGAATTAAGAAAATTCCACTACTAGGTTCAGAGAGTTTTTAAATAACAAATCAAGTATTAGGCTTCTTGCTTGTAGTGCAAAACAGTGCAAAAGATCAAATGTAGTTTTAGCCATATGTTTTAAACAAAAGAATATGTTGTTAACAGTTTCTAGTCTTACTTAATAAATTAACAGCAACAGAGCAGCATTTTACACTGAAACACTTCACCCTCCAACCGTCTAGTGGGCGACTCCTTCTGCTTTAAGGAGAGCTGACACAAAATGAGTCTGTGGCTTTGACCAGAGGGTCTCGCAGTCAAATCACGCAACACAGTTCACAGATCAGAGAGCAGGTTCCTCTAAAGCTGACCAACACTTACTTTAACTTTCGACAAAAAAAAAAACTTTTGACGGAACAGCGTTTTGCGCATGCGTCTGAAAACAACAACACTACGGCAAGTTGGCTGTAGTTAGATTGTAGCTTCGCTACTTAGCTCTCGAAGAAATGACTTTACCACCACTTACGCACAGTTTTCAACAAAAAAAAGTTGCGATTAAACTGACAACTCTGATTTTACATCAGACACAGCATTACTGCGGCTAGCCGGTAGGAGACGGATCTATAAGGTAGGCTAAATTTCTATCGTTTCTAACGTGTACCCTATATCGCACATTCCTACTTTGAGACTAGATACTTTACTAAAAGTAATTTCAGTAAAATTAACCCTTGGGTTTTTTTTTTTAAAGTTTTTAAAGAATAATGCAAAGCAACATGTTAATTCATTTGACAAAATTAACTTAACTATGATTTTTTTTTAGGGATAGGGCCGATCCGATCCAGTATCGGCCTCTGATACCAGCATAATTTACGTATCGGATTTTTCCGATCCAACCTGCCGATATTTCCGATCCTTGATGCATGTTGGCTTCAAACTATGGAATGGATTTCCTGAACGGAGGCTTGTCTCATGAACCCAGAGTAATAAGACCCGCTTCACATTCAGGAAATCCAGTTCATAGTTTGCAGCCAGCTACTACGTGAGGGCTGAGTTAGCAGCACTGTGGCTAACAGCTAACAAACTTTTCATCTAAACATGTCCGCTGTGTGGAAATATTTTACACTAGAAACACCACAAAACAAGACAGCAACGTGCAATGTCTGCAGAGCCATAGGACCACATTAAATCGCCATAAAGTTAGATTTACGTTGGACATTTGAGCTCCGTGGCTTCAGCGGAGCGCTACTCTTTGCTCAACCCGAAACAGGCAACTCAACCTCGGCTAGCCCCGCTCAGTCTGTCCGTCTCTGAGGAGGCTGACCGAAATCAGGCTGCTTGCTTCGGATTGAACAAAAAGAAGACATCGCTGAAACCACAGAGCTCAAATGTTTACAGAGAAGTTGCTAAACTTCATCATAATTAATGACCAACCACTATCAGTTGTAGAAAACTAAAGATTTCACAGCTTGATACTTGCAGTCAAGATATAGTTTACCCTCCAGAGATATTTATCAGTACAACAGTAAACAATCATAAAAAAACATTAGAAAATTATATACATTTTTTAAAAGAAACAAAAACAGCTACATTATAAAGTGATGTAAAATACTAAAAACAGGAACATGTCTGTTGGTTTGTGCCATGAACTTAGCAGATGTTTAAAGCCATTTTACATTTTATTTAATTTATTCATTCATTTAAAAGAAACAAAATAAAAATAAAAAATCATCAAAAAGAAAACGCTGAATGAAAAGAGCGCAGAAAGAAGAAAAACAATTCTTATATCTGCCCCTTATTTAAAAAATATAAAATAACTTTAAACAGTCACTTAAATTAATCACTTTAATATCCACTTTAAAACTAGGAATAAAAAAAAACATGTTTTGTGTTAAAAGAATTTAATTTTAACTTTAAAACTTATCCAACATTAATACAACTTACCTCAAGTTGCCTTTTTGGACATGCATGCATATATTGTACAAATTGTACTTGAGAGGAGATTATTACAGCCTCATATAAAATCAATAATGATGATGATATCAGAACTGGATCGGTATCGGACGATATTCAGATTTAGGTATCGAGATCAGATCGGAAGTTAAAAAAGGTGGATCGGTGCATCCCTAATTTTGTTGTTGTTATATCACAAAATTTATCGTTATGGTCAAAATGCTCTGAAATATCATGATATTATATTTGAGCCATATCGCCCACCCCTAACGTTGACAAAACAATGTTCAGTTGCTCAACTAAACTTACCTAAAGGAGACTATCAATTTTCTGTAGAGCTTACAGTGAGTGTTCATGAAGAAATAAACTATGTTGAGCAACAATATTTCCAGTCGTATGTAGGCCTGTCACACTAACAAATTTTGTTGGGTGATTAATTGTCTCAGAAATTATTGCGATAAATGATAATATTGTTTGAAATTAGACAATAATTAGTAATTACTGTCAAATTTAAGAAGAAATGTTGGTTAATTTTTGTGTGTAGTACCTTTTTTGACCACTGATAGCAGTATAAGACTGTTTGAACCGAAGGATGGATAGTGAGAGAGCGAGCAGTATGTCTAAGGAAAATGGGAGGGAGGCCCCTTGACATGACAAGAGCTCTCTCTCGTTCCTGTTTTTCGGTTCTTAAAATGTTGGCCGCTCTGTGTGGTTTGAGCTCTTTAGCATAGCATTTGTCACACAAAGCTTTTAATAAAATAATCAGTAAACAAGCTCTCAGCTTCTTTTTGCATAGAACAACAACTTTTTAGATGCAGGCACGGGTTTCAACCGTGAATTTTTGCAGCTTTGACAAGACGGAGTTTTTTTCCCCGAGGTCAGCCTGTTAGCTTAGCTCGTAGCTTAGCTGCTTTTAATGATCCAAAAACACGATTGAGCCTGTTGTCATCCGGTGTCCAGTAGAAAGAGACACGAAGAAATGATAAAGCTAATAAATGAAAATAAGGTAGATCATTTTTATTTATCATGCGATTAATTTATGTATTGTTTATTGTGACAGGTCTATGAATGTTTCTGTCAAAGATAATTGCTACTTTGTGGCCATCCTCAAAACAATCTATTAAAAAAATAACTTTTCATACCTGCTGGTTGACATCTGCCCCATTGTTGACCAGCAACTCCAGACAGAGGGCACCGTTGGTGGAGACGGCAGCCAGGTGCAGAGGGGTGTAGCCACACTTGTTGGGCTGGTTAACGTTAGCGCCGTGGTTCACCAGTTCTGTAGCCACAGCTTCCTGCCCCATGTAGCAAGCAACATGGAGCGCAGTGTTCCCAAAGCCATTAGGCTCATCAATCTGACCACAAGACAAACACAACATCCCACTTTAGATAAAAAGTTCTCACTAATAGACATCCCAATCCAATGCTGCATGGGCTCTAACAATGATCTTAAATACTTAAAAACTAACAAGACGTTTATTCAGGATGATTTTTCTAACAGAAAATATTTTATTCAATTGCAAAAGCACAAGTGCTCACCTCTGTTCCCATCCTCAGTAGGTACTTTACAATTTCAATGTGACCGCTCGCAGCAGCAGCATGGAGAGGAGTGTAACCCAGCTTATCTTTGCAGCTCTTGTCAGCACCGCGGGAAACCAGCATCTTCACCACTTCCAAATGTCCTGGGAGAAACAAACAAAAACAAATTTATAAATAATTTCTATAAATAACTACCGACAAAAGAAAAACAACGTTTTATTGATTTACTGACGTGTTTTTTTTACACTGAAACTAAAATGGAAAACTTTTTTCCTGTTACTTCTCATCCGAGAAAATCTAAGCAAAGAAACGAACACATCTGGAGTGCTTGCTTACCCAAATAAGCAGCACAATGAATAGGCTGTCTCTCCTTCTTATCAATGGCACTCAGGTTGGCCCCTTTGTTCAGCAGCAGCTTCAACATCTGGAAGACGAAATATAAAATAAAAACATTAGGGTTTATTTTATTTTGGTTAGGTAAATCTGTGAAGTATAAAGTAGTCAGTGGTAAGTTTGTTGCAGTCTCACCTCCTGGAAGCCACTTTGAGCTGCATGGTGTAAGGCAGTCCGGCCAGTGCGGTCTGCCATGTTCAGGTTGCTCAGCTGGGTCAGCAGGGCCTCTGCACAGCGCGTGGCCCGGTTGGCAGCAGCCACATGAAGTGGCGTTTGCCAAAACTTGTCTCGTGCATTTGCCTCGGCTCCACGTCTCAGCAAAAGACCCACTGCCCTCTGGGGAGAAGGACGCAATCAGAGCTTTAGTAAATCTGCAGCTTGCTGCATTACCTTCCATCAGTGCAGCGTTTCACAACTAGAACAGAGCAACGTAAAACATCTGCTTGACAAACTCTGGTTGTCCGCCAAAATGTTTGGTTGTCCGCAACCTTTCCAATAAAGAAAACAAACTAACTATCTAGATAGATGTACATGTGTGTGTGTATATATATATATATATATATATA